GATCAAGGCTCCTTAGCTCGTCTTGATACACATGCTTTCGGGAACTGCAACAGTTGGGCACCACGGGTGATGACAAAGATCACAATTGATAATGAAAGACTGTCCGATGGCCTTCTCGCTCCGAGTCAAGATTTCATTAACAGGTCATCCATTCATTTCTCCCCTCGCCGCTCCGTTGGTCGGCCATTCATCAGACCTCGACCACGGCGACGGCAGCGAGAGCGGTTGACGCGCGACAAGTGTTATTTTTTCGTCACCGAAGCTCGAGCAGAGTCCCTCACCGGATCCGGTCTCTTCGTTCAAGTTTTATGTAGTCCCGAGTGAAGTAACGGATGCCTGTCTCGATGAGAGCAGGATCCTCGATGTTCGGGAACTCTTTTATGGGCACCTCGACTTCCTTCATGGTGTACGCCGAAACTCGACTCGATGAGCCCCCCTCCGGCGCATTTCGCGACGAAACGCAAGGGCCTCCGCTAATCCTACGGCACTGACGTGCAAGATTCTACTACGTGGTGTCTCAGAGCATTGCTTGAATCATCAAGGCTCTGTTCGAGCTGTTAACAGGCCCCTTGTGTTCGCCTTGCTGGGAGAAAAATCTTGTCAGCTTTAGTTCCGACGTAAATTTCCGGTAGGGGCGTAACAGTATGAGTTAACCCTTAACCCTCCGCAACTGTTCACTAATCCGATCGTTGCGCTGTGAGGGGGCGTGCGTTCATGAGCGTCGCTGAGCGCGACCTGTTGGCTCCCCGATTTTTAATTCGAACCAGTCATGAAGTCTCATTCAAGAAATTCCGAGAACAACGATTCGCGCTTGTCGGAAGCCAGTCGCCGATAAGCAACGCTAGATGAGGTTCTGCCATTCAGGTTAAAACGAATTACATGCAATAGTCTGACTCTTTTTCCATGAAGTTGCGTAATGCTACTGAGCTATGCCGGAGAAGCTCTCAGTCAGCTGCGCGGTAATGTCGCTCGGCGACTGACGCATAGCATGAGCTGAATGATAATAATAAGCCAATGAAATGGCGATCGTTAATGAGAGCGATACTGTACGAGAAGCACTAGTTTGCGTCCTCGCAGTCCGGCGGTATGATCCGGAAATGCCGATGTACATAGACGACAATATGAGACACGTTTTGATCGATATCTTCATGAGGATTTTGTACGTTTTCGTCGTTTTCCAAATGCGTGGCGGGACGACATGGGTATCGGCTCCTTCGTCGGAGGGATTTCCCACAAACCATTCGGAAGAGGGTTCCGCATCGTAAATTTATTCATACGTCAAACTTGCGGGAACTTCAACTTTGTGTGTGTGTAGCTGTGTGAAATTAGCTGAGTCCAACGCAGGAGAACAATACTATCTACTTAAAGCCGCTGTGACACCTTTCTCTTTCAGTGCGCTCCCAGCGCAAAGACGTTCGCCTTAATCAGAAGAGCCGAGCTGCAAACGGGTTTCCGGGTTCTCAAAAGTACGGAACCGTCACGTAGAGGGAGATCCAAACATCTGCTTGTCAAAGCACGTCAAACGTCCCGACATCGCCCCAGCCGTCTGAAGTCGGATGAGTTGTTGGAGCTAGTACGGACATGATACTTTCGCCGTCGCTACGCGCGTGCTCTTAATGAGACACTATGCATCGGATCCTAGCTTTGCACGTCGTCGTCGCATCTCGCATTCCGCAACGTTAGTATTCAAAATCTCCCACGCACTCGCCCATCCTTCATTTCACGTGAACAGAATTCCGATCACTCCCCGGGTACGCGTCTAATCGGCAGTGCGGGCATGCATCCATGCATGCAACGAATCGTTAACAGAGACGATCTGAGAGACAGCAGAAGTTTTCGTTTGTTGAGCGATGTGAATATTGGTTTCTCTTTTTCTTCGCAGGCGTCCGTAACCCCCGAAGGATCCGGTCATTGACGGCTTGGAGCATCTTTTGCGCATCAGTGAGCCAACACAAGCCATCAGTGGAGCCATATGCGTCGTCTCGAGCAGTTGTCGTAGTAGTCGTCGCCGTCGTTTGTATGAAGTAACCGAAACCGATGGGTCTTCAGCAGGGTCTTCGCTTACGGGCAGTGTGCAAACAAGTTAGCGAACACTTAGTGAGTCACTTCTGTCCGCAACAAGTTCACAAGCGACAGGTGTTCTCTCGCTTGATTGCATCACCCTCGGAGTGCTCTCACAGTTTCTCAGAAACCGTGAATCCCATCGATCTCGTGATTCGAGCCGTGCAGGTGTCGTCCTGTCGATTTTGTTTGTATTTATAAATAGCAGGAGCTTTTTTTCGTGGAGGACCAAAAATAATTGATCGAGCGACCCCTTGGCTTCGCAACATGCTCACGCGTCATTGTGTGGTCGATTTCTCGTCTTACGTGACGGAAGCGTCACACGAAATCATAGCCGCGGTAGGTTAAACGGATCTGACGAACAAACGGAGGAACGGTCGCTAGGGTAGATGGATGGATGGATGGATTGACGGTCAGACTGTCGTCCGTCCAGTGGATGGAGTAACGATGGCGAGCGACACGGAAGACCCGATACGACGGATGCGATGGCGACGTAAAGTTGAGGATGATGAGGCGAAACTTCACCCACGACGAGACATTGTTTTCTCCAAGGAGCCTCATTGTTTCGGAAACGAAAACTCGATCACTGCTCCGAAATAAGACAGAAGTCGACCTTTGTTTCGTGAACCGCAGACGTCGATGACGACGACGACGGAGAAACTTATTGTGGGAAATCGTAAGAATATACTATCATGTGACTCCAGCCGATACCGTTGTCGACGTCGTTCGCTTCCACACACAGACGACACCGAACGAATTAGCTGTTATAAGATGAGACGAGGGAAGGAACGAAAACTGGATGAAATCCCTTGTTCCTACGCCAATGATGGTCCAACGAAGACGCCGACTTGCACGTCAAGTGTTTCGGGTGTTCAGCCGCTCGTGCGACACGGAAATCATTCGCAGTATCCCGAATGTTGCTGATGATTGAAAAAAGTTCGACAGATCTCCTCGTTCCCCCAGCGGTAGGTCTGACCGATGAATTCGATGTCTAAAGACGGAATCACGTCCGTATCGTCGATCAGATTAGAATGAACGATTGTGAACCGAGCTGACGAATCTACTGCGGGGTCACATCGATCGATTCTCAGCCCCCATCCAAGAATCAATCGCCGTCACGTAGGTTTTACCTCGAACGGAACCCACGATACAATTTCTGTGGATGGGACGAGTCGGGAGACGACGCTTGGGACGGCAAGCGGCTCGCGGCGGAAGGAGAGCGTTCCGTCACTGTGACTTGCATTGTACAATCATTCAACATGAACCATTCTCGGCTTGAGTCGGTTGCGATTTGTGATCGCGCCTTGCCGGCCGCGCATACCCAGCCCGGACAGAGTCGACCAGTTGCTCATGTTTGCTCCGTCAAAATTGTCGTCCGATGTGACCTAAACTTTCACGACTGTAGGCTCCTTCTATTCTTCATACAGAACGAGACGTCGAAAACGCCGGGGCAGTTACCGTTTCCGTAGTTGTAATCGCGGGTCGTCGCCATAGTTTGCTGAGAATGTTCTCTCTTCTAATCCCGGAGTGTTTTTTTTGTCAGCCGTAATGAGTGACACTGCTTGCTAGGAGTTCTTTCTACGCGACAACGGGGTGCGTAACGGCTCCGACGATAAGGAAAACACGAAACTTATGACCGTTTTGCTCTCTCCCGCTCATTCAGCTTTTATGATATTTTCTTTTGTTTCTCTGAGGTGAAGAGTTCTCGATAGAATTCATACGGCAGGAATTCCTCCGAAGCCTCGGGCTAGAGAAAGTTGTGGAGCGAGATAAGGAAACTCGAGGTACCGGACTGCCATCGCAAGCGAAGGTACCGCGAGGAGGCACTATTCGAACGAGGCTTCCCATCTACATTAGAATGGCGACAATTCTACGCTTAGATGGTCCGGTGCCGCTCCATTCGTACGTTGAGCGTAGGACCCCAAGGGCAGATGGTCAGTTTTTCTTTCTTCAGTCTTCTTGATGTGAGCCCCAACGCTACAGAAGGAACAGGTGCGCAACATTCGAACGACTAGCAACGACAACAGTGGGGACCAAAGTCGCTTCGAAAGTTTCTACAGTCACGAGATATCTCCATGGGAACAAGGTGCGTCGGAGAAATAAAATTGCCCCTGGGGTTCACATTCGAACTTCGAATGAGACCATAGATCATTCAATGAGGGGATTCCGAAGAGCTTTGCTCTTCAGTGGTTAATACTCCTTGAATCCTGATTACGAGCACCGTGATGTCTTGGAGTATCCAATGGATGAGCTTTCGAACCTTCATCAATTCCGAACGTCGAGACCGCCCTGTGTACGATGGCTCTCGAAGAGATGTCGATGAGCTAAGGTATACTCACGTTTGAGAGTCATTGGCGGATGCATCCAATAATTTGATCACGATTTTATAACTTCACAACCTCCTTCCTCGTTGTCGGAGTAGTTACACGTCACGTCTATCCCTTGTGAGTTTCTGCACTGGTCTCGTGGGACTGCGGAGATGCGCGAAGCTATCAAACTGAACTGATCGTCAAGCGTAATCCTGCAAAGGTGGACTATGCCGGGATTCTTCTGATCTAGAAGCCGAAGAGTTTCGCGCGGCTCAGCCGGTTCTGTTGATGCGAGGGCTCCTGACTTTCCCTCCCCCGTCGGCTGTCAGTCCGCTTCACGACTCACGACAGCGATGGCGCCATCTGGCTAAGCTGTCAGGCATCACTACCGCAGGCACGGAGCCCTTGCTCTGTAATCTGCATGTGGAGCCGAGACGCATACGATATCATCAACGTGGACCCGTATAGGCTGGGCGGTGCTCTCTGCTACCAACCAAACAGAGCAAGTCGAGTCCATCCAGCCCTCTGGATGCCAAGGATTCCATCGCGATCCTCGGTTTCTCGCATTGCCGGACTACTGCGCGAGCTTGCTGAGGAGCTCGGTCAAGATAATAGAAAAAGGACGCCTTTGTTTCCCCTATTTCCGATTTATATTTTTCATCTATCGCACCTTTCCAGAGAACGGACTGTTCCCACCACTCACGTCTCCTTCTCGGGCACGAATTCTATCACCAGGGTCTCTCCAGCTTCTATGCTGAGCTCATTGAGCTTCAGCTTCTCATCCTTGAGATGCTTCGAATTCGTAGAAGTCATTGCCACGTTGCCATTTTCGGGTATAAGTCTGGATACCGTTGTTAGCAAATTGATCGTTTTCTTCTCGGTGGCGAAGTTGGAAACCACGACGAAGCCTGGATATCCGATCTTCACCCTTGACATCGACAAAACGGAATCCGATTCCCTCAGAGACGTCGAGCCTTGATAAATTGATGCTTCGAGCTTCCGGAGTTTCGCCGCCGCGGTGAATACCTGAAAGCAAGACTACGGTCAGAAGGCAACTTTGGGATGGGCGAAATTTCGCGATGGTGAGCTAGGGAAAGGGAAGCCGAGATCTCCCGTTCCCCGAGCGAATCCAGTAAAATTCTTAACCTTGTAGATGGACGGCGCCGAGTCGATTCGAACGCGCGCGAGATCGATCCAGTCCATGAGCCCCGTCCTCGGGTCTGGCATCGGGACTATGTTCCTGCTTTTCGGCTCCGAGCTGGTGTCTCGCTTGCCGTACTCATCGCCGTAATAGACAATCGGTGTCGAGTCCGAAAGCAAGTTGAATATCAATAGAGCCTCCATGAGAGAACGCGGCTCGAAACGGGTCACAAACGGCGAAACGTTCGCCATACCCAGCACGAAGTTGGTTCGACATTTCGACGTGTGCGTTTCTCCGAGAGCAGCGTGGAGATCCGTGCTCATGAAAGCCTGTGGCAGTCTTATCATGTCGTAATTGAGAATCATGTCCACGTGATTGCAGTGCTCTTCCCGGAGCTGATTGAACTGTGAACTCGATAGGGCGAGCAGCTTTGAGTCCGGAGAATCGGAAGTGTTGAAAATCGTTTGCCTCCATCGGGGCATAGCTTCGTAATACTGCGAGCTCATGTCGTCGAACTCTTCCAGGATGAAGCCGGCCGCGCCAAGTTCCGCCCATTTCCGTAGCTTCTCCAGATCAACCTCGGGAACGAGCGGCAGCTTCAAGATCACCTGAAGGGAGCCTCGGAGAGATAAGAATTTCGGAATAGTTCGTGATGCCTCTATCGGGGGAAGAAACGTATACATGGAACAATTGAACGGGGAACGAGTGGAATCGAAATGAACTCACTTTGATTTGTGAGGCGAGGTTCTTGAAGTCGTTCTCAGAGCCCTGACGACCCTGGATGGCGTGGAGGTCGCTCTTCTCCAAGAGACCTTCGAGAGCGATGGCGTTAATAGAGATTTCATGTTTGATGTAATCGAGCTTATCTGTTAACCCGGCCAAGTCACCCGCGCCATCGCCGTCCGAATCAGCGAAAGAGTCGACTCGAATCGTGTAGATGGGTGATTTCTCAAACCTAGAATGGAATCGGATCAGCACGTTCCGGAAGCGTGAGCCTGGGGATCCCGCTGTACCTTCGTCTAATTCAGACGATTCTCGATTATTCGGGAAATTCTGAGGTCACTTACCACTTGGGGTCCAATCCTTTCTGACACCGGGGCGTCACTATAATAATGAAGATTGCTCCGACCAACATAGCAACCCAGATCGCCCAGAACAAGAAGAAAAGGGTTCTCCTCAGCATAATCCAAGTGGGGTTCGTCGCATATTTCATAACTTCGGCCTTCGAGAGTCCCACGAGGCAATCGCCAGAGTCTCCGATGTCCACTTTGGCCTCGCCATTCTCAGCGGAGAATTTGCTCACACCTTCCGACATCGAGTTGGCGAAAGCTCCCCGGATCAACAGACTAGAACTAAACAGAGTCTTTCGACAAGCGCACACTGAGCGGAACGGTCACTCTCGAAACGCTTCACAAAAGAGGAGGCTGTGGAGAGTACGATCCAATTGAGATATCCTCCAGCACGTCAATCATTGATCGTCCGGTACAGCACGGCCTTCACCCGGACAGCGTTTCACAGTCAATTGATTCAGCATAGGCCCGATCTGCCCCAGTAAAAAAACCCTCTAAGGGTTTGAGAGGATCAGGAATCAGGGCGATCAGGATCGGTCGGTCTGGAATTCCGACTCGTAGCTTGCCCTCCATATACAGTCGCGATCGGATGATAATTCTCGGAGAGAGAGTCGATTCGTTTTTAGTACTCGAATTTTTATTCTCGTTCATCGAATACCAGCACTTCCGGCAATTCACTCGGCAATTTTTCGCATCAAGGTGCGATCTCGGAATTCCTTCAGATTCTCGATCCGGTGCCCAACGCCGCACTAGTCGGATCCTTACTTTGAGAGACTTGGGGCAATGAATCGGGGGGTGAGCTTCGATGACTGACCTCACCCCGCCCGCCCCATCATTCTATTGCGATCATGTTACTGCCTCAAGCGTTCAGCAGAACCTTCCATACCAGACTTCTTCTCGTCCGCTGATTATAATCTTCGACAAGGAGCGTCTCAAAGATACCACCTCTTCACAAATCTGACTACTCAAGCTGCACCACCTCTAGTGGAATCTCGATGGCGAGCGATGGGCGACAGCGTCGGCGTCGCATCCCTGCGACGCACGAGCGGCTCTATTCGAAAAAGGTCCAGCCGAATAACGTGGGTATTTCGGCTATGAGCTGTTCGGGAACAGGGTTATATAGGGCGATAGGTCTCGGTTAGCGGAAGACTTTTCACGACTCTCCCAAAAATCGACGCGGCTTGTTTCAAGAAATCGGCCAATATTCAAAAAATCTTAAAATACGATTCTCTCGGGAACGGTAAGTGTTAGAGCAGCGGTTCCCGAATGGGGGTCCCGACTCCCATCCCCGGGGGTCTCGGAGCCCGCTGAAAACTGCTGATGTTATCGCCCCATAGAGATATAAGTGTATTCGGTAGCTCGAGGATGTATCGAGCAAATCATGCGGTTGTCCGCCAATTCGTGAAAGATTTCTTCGAAATGCACAACTTGCAGTCCATTGGCTTTGCTTGCACCGATGGTGCGCCGGCAATGCTCGGCAACAAATCCGGGTTTTGTGCCTTGATGAGGTAGGAAATTCTGATGGAGCTCAAACATGGTCTAGATTTGTCCGTGAAGGCTATCAACTTTATCCGGGGTCGGGCTCTGGGCTCTGACCCATCGTTTGTTCAAATCGCTATGCGAGAGCCTTGGGAGCGAGCACACAGTGCTCCTTTTCCATACGAGCGTAGGTACGTTGGCTCTCTCGCGGACAAGCACTCTCTCGCTTCTTCGAGCTCCAACATGAGGTCAAGCTATTCTCGAAGGATCAGAAGAGTAATCTCCTGGGCGACCTCGAAGCTCCGATGTTCCTCAAACGATTGGCCTATCTGTCGGACATTTTCAGCCTGCGGAATGAACTGAGCATATCTCTTCAAGGCAGGGAATCAAACATGCTCATCGCAAAACAAAAGTTGAAAGCATTCACAGCAAAACTGCATCGAAAACACAAACAACAATGCGGTACCATTAACCACATATACGACAATAGCAGAGGGAGTGTATTGCTCGCACAAGCGAGAGCCGGCTTCCTCAGAACCAGGAAATTCAGGTCAAGATTCGAAGAGATTGACCCGAGTTGCAGGATTTGTGGTCAGGAGGAAACTCTGGAGCACGTCCTGATGGCATGCCAAGAAAAGACATGCGGTGACGAAGAGATTCAAAAAAGGCTTGGGTTACACGAGGAGTCTGAAAGGCGAGTCATTAACGATACTAAGCAGATTCTCGAGAGATGGGAGAGAAGGGAGGCGAAGCCACCCACACCCCAGGAGTGAAGCGTCATATAATCTCCAGCGATCGCGCCCCCGCAGTCGGGGTTTCTATTAGAAATGGAGCATAAGTCAATCAATCATCAATCAATCAGCTTTGGCGGAGACGAGTAGAGAGTGGGAACTTAACAAACTCCCCATCGCTGCAGAAAACTTGTTCCACAGAGGATGACACAACTTTGACTGTGATAGTTCCGGAAGTATCGGCACATTTGAACTTGCTGTCTGAATCTTTCAGCGGGTATTCTGCACCAGGGGACCTCGAGATCTGCGAAGAATGGATATTGGATCCTTTCTCCTTTGATTTCCACATTCCTCTGATAGCGGCAAAATCGAAGAAGACCTCCTCGAACTCCGCGAGGATCGAGCCTCAGCCATAGGATTTCAGAACAAAAACTTGGAGGAGTTTCCAGGCTCAGTCATGGGGAGTTACCCACGACTTGCTGAGAGCGCCTTCAGGGTTCTTGTTCCCTTCGTAACGACATACTTGTGTAAATACGGCTTCAGTACTTTGTTTAAAATCAAAACTAAGAACAGATCGCGTCTTAACCCTGAAGCAGATCTGCGCTTGGCTTTGAACTCGACAGAGCCACGTCTATCAGATATTGTGGATTCCAAAAGACAGCACAAAAGTCATTGAGATGCTCATGGAATTATAAATAGTTCAAAAGTGAACATGGTTAAATCAAAGAGGAAGAAATACTCACGAGCGCATGCGATAGAGAATCGTCACGCTAAGCGAATAGCGAATGACCTGTATACCCCGAAACCATGGTTTCGACAGGACATGGCAGGGGGTCCCGAGCAGACTCGCGAGGTCCGGCGGGGGTCCCGGGCGGAAAAGAAATCGGGAACCGTCGAGCTAGAGGGCCGTGCTTGGTGTCGTTGGAAAGCTGACGGACAATGCCACAATTCTAGCCTGGCCCCATTTTTTTCAGTACTTTTTATCACAATATTTTTTCGAAATTGAATTTTCTCCGAGCTCCCAGACACCGAAGATCCTCGAGAACATGAATGACATTTTGTGTCACAAATAAACCTCGGATACCCATGTACGCGCATACGAAGTTTCATCGAAATCGGAATAGTCCAGATAGGTTCAAATGCGAACACTTCATTCCCTAACACTGATTTCCATGTTTTTTCGGAAAACGCCCATTGCAGCACCCAATCTCTATCCCCTGGTCTGACTCTGACCCAGGATCTCGCGGGACACATTTGAGTCTTCTCGCGCATCGAGCAGACGCTGCGCGCCCTCCTTGTAAACAAAACAGGGCATGTTTGTGGCGGCGCACACTACACTTCGATCGATTTGACCGGCGGGGATTTTTTTATTTTTGATTACGATGATACTTAGGAGCATGAGATAGACCCCGAATCAGTCTTCGTCACTATCTCCGTTGATAACAGGAACGGTAGCTCCACCCCGGAACAGCGACTCAAGAATCTCCGCAGGTCTGACGATTCGGGAGAGATATCACGCATAAGATAGATAATACACGACGGAAGCTACATGGGAGCAGCAACCGACTGTCCGAGCGCAATTAGCACACTCGCAGTAATGTCGCTTGATTCCCGCATAACCTAGCGTTTTGGGCTCGTAATCGATATAACACCTGTAGCTCTTGCTCCTCACATGTCTCGACCGAACCTCTATTTTGAGGATGTTGCTTTGGTACCGGTGAAACTTCAGGTTGATCGTGTTGTCATCGTTCAGCTGCTCAGCCAGATAAGACACAGATTGTGAGAGCTGGTAGGTTCCAGTGAATAGGATCCTGAGATCCTTCTCCGTCTTTATCGGGAAGTCAGAAATCGAGTCAGAGGTAATGGTTGACCATGACCGTCTCATTCTGTTCCATCCATTTTGTTCAGCTTCTTGACCCAATGAATTCCGGACTTGTAGCATTTGCTGCATGCGTGCTAGAAACTCATCGAACCTACCCCGATCGGATTGGAGGCGCTTCCCGAAACGGTTGTTCAAATAATAAGCGATCCTTGTTAGAACTCCAATCTTCGGAGCAGATCATTGTCAACTCGATGATCCAGGGGTCTGTATTTCTGTTTGATTATACCGTGTACAGCTTCTGCCGCCTATCGAATTTTCGTCACGAATCGAGATGCGTTGGCCTCTTCCGTGAGCAATTGTTTGCGCTGAACTTTCAAGGCTGGCATATAGACAGTGAGACCCAGTTCCTCTAGCTGAGTCTTCACATCCCGGAAGCCTCTATCCACGAAACACATGTCACCCGCTCTTAAGGAACCGCCAAGACCAGTCGGGTCTCGCATAGCGTCCGCCATGATTTTGGCATCGTTGACATTCGCATTGTAGGGTCAGCATGTCGATGACGTATCCAGTGGCTGTACGGATGGTAAACGGTTTACAAAGTGGCGCCTTCTACTGTACTGAGTACGATTTTCTCTGGTACGAGCTGTTTGCGCTTTTACGGTGACGAATAAACGTTCCATCAAATATCAGAGCCAAAGAATCTCTTGCTCCAAAGAGCTGTCTGACGAACTCTGATGTCTCATTCTGGGTCAAGTCCTGTCGCGCGCGAGCTGAGAATCCGAATTACATAGATCGATTCTAAACCCTTTGTTTAGGCGCTTGTATCTCTCTGATCTTACGGGGGTCAAACCCCTCTGGTCAGACGGAGGAGCTTACTACGAGCGTGATTGATTGATTGATTGATTGGTTGATGGTTCCGGAGTCCTCTTCGCCTAGCCAAGAGCGGGGTTCCGGAGTCCTCTTCGTCTAGCCAAGAGCGGGGTTCCGGAGTGTGTCCCGCGAGATCCTGGGCCAGAGTCAGACCAGGGAGAATAGAGATTGGGTGCTGCAATGGGCGTTTTCCGAAAAACCATGGAAATCACTGGTAGGGAATGAAGTGTTCGCAATTGAACCTATTCGGACTATTCCGATTTCGATGAAACTTCGTGTGCGCGTACATGGGTATTCGAGGTTTATTTGTGACAAAATGTCATTCATGTTTTCGAGGAACTTCGGTCTGGCAGCTCGGAGAAAATTCAATTTCGAAAAAAAACTGTGATAAAAAGTACTGAGAAGAATGGGACCGGGCTAGAATTGTGGCATTTTTCGTCAGCTTTTCAACGGCTACAAGCACGACCCTCGAGCTCTTACCGGTTCCGAGAAAGTCGCATTTTAAGATTTTCAAATATCGGCCGATTTCTCGAAACAAGCCGCGTCGATTTTTGGGAAACTCGTGGTAAAGTCTTCCACTAACCGAGACCTATCGCCCTATATAGTCACTTTTCCCGAACAGCTCATAGCCGAAATCCCCACGATATTCGGCTGCACCCTTTCGGACATGTGGTAGTTTTTCCTTCTGTGAAGGTGTACGTCAGCCTCGATCTTACTGACTTCGGTTTCTCCGATTCCGCTTCGCTCCAATCTTCTCTCGAATCATCGCAATGAGATTCCTGATGGCGACCGAATCTTATGGTACCGATTCGAGTCTCTACAACACGAGTTTTCCCTTGTAGATTACGCTCCGTATAAGGTCTTTGTGGCATCCGAGCTGGTAGATGATGTGTTCCCACTTTGGCTCTTTGATTAAGATCAAATTGGCCTCTTTGCCCTCTTCTATGGAGCCGTACCTGTAGAAGAGGGAAACTGCTCGGAGGATTTTTCACCAACACCGAGACGCCGAGAAGCTCGTCTCGGCTTCGATTCTCCCAAAATCGGAACTCAGTGAGAGGTGCAGGCTCACCGATGTGACTTCCCGATCGAATAGGCCGCATTAATCGTAGCGGCGGCGAGGGACTCGTCGAGGCTCATATGACACTGAACGCAAGCGAGGTGCATTACAGTCGGCTGAAAAAGTCGCCGATCTGTGGTAGACCTATCAAAGGGTCAGAATAGCGTCGTAAGGCATTTGGGATCACTCACCATCGCGTAACAGAAAGCGTTCGGATTGAAATCCGAGCCGAGAGCAACGATGACACCTTGCTGGATCATTTCTCTCACCGGTGGAGGCTTGAGCCGCAGGATATGAGCCGTGGTCGGAAGAACGACCGCGGCGGCCTTCGTCGCAGCCATGGCTGCGATGCCCTCGTCGGAAATCCGCTCCAGATGAGACATTGCGCGAGCTCCGAGAGCACACCCGAGCTGTTTTGAGAGATCGAGAACCGACAGTCAATGCGAAACTCGATGTCCATAATTCCGAGGTCCCGGATGGCCCGAGCCACGGAGCGGCCTTGTCCGGTGGGAGCGACCGAGTGGCGAGCCATGAATGTTCACCAGAACCGGTCAGCAAGGACTCACCTCAACTCCGTGTATGCAAGAAAGTTCCTCCGCATGGAAGTTGAGCTCATAATCGAGTTCCTTCGCCTTCGCCAGAATCCGTTTCGTAGCGTCGATCTCGAAAACACCTTTCTCGCAGAATACGTCCACGTTATCGAAGTCGACTGTAAGGAGCTTCATTAGAATAGAAGGGAGCGAGCGGGGAGAGTATTAAGCGGGAAATCTTCCGAGTGAGTTCCCAAGCCGATTCCTCAGAGCTAATCCAGACAATCAGCTCGTATAACCGTGAGAATAAACGGGGCCATCTCGGACCTAGCTCTTTCAATTTAGGAAGATCCTCGTCAGATATCTTCGTGGCGTATTCATCCGGCGTTCCTACGAAGCCTCTGGAAATCGAATACGTGCCGTCAACAACTGGCCGAAAAAAAAAGATGGCGACTCCTTCCGTCGTTGAACCTAGGGGCGAGCTCCGTCGATCTTGGCGCTGAATTAGGTTCCGAAGATAAATTCTGATGCCTAACAGCCTGTCATGTATCCTATGCTCGCTCGGCTTATCGCGCATCGGCACCTGGGCACGGCGTGAGCTCCTAGATACGTGAGCGACATTTCGATGATGTCCTGCTGCTTGACCGAGTTCAGGATCTGCAGTTGTCTCAGCTCGTCCTTGAACCACAATCCGTATCTGAGTGGGAAAAAATGGGTCACTGCATCAAGTTTAATTTAATTATTGTTCACGCATGGGCAATCATCGAGCCCTTCGCAATGGAACGTCGCTCATGCTGAGTGCTCGGTCAGATATGAGAACATCGAAGAGACATGAGTCGAACCCGGTCTTGCACTCGGCCGCAGTAGTCCCGGATTTTCTCATGAGCGTCAATCTTTCAACAAGCGATTCGGCGAGTTTCTCGTCTGATTCTTCGTGGGTACAATCAACAGTGTAGTGAATGCCGCCTTTCTGAGCGTGAATTTCCATGTACGACGCTCCTGCCAATTTCAAGGCGAATTCATGTACGCGGTCCCCGCTCCAGATCGGATGAGTGTGACCATCCACGAAGCCTGCATCAGTGGGAAAATTCGTAGGTTCCACAATCCTTGGTATTTTCATATTCGTGCCATAAAAGGAGCAGGGATCACAGGCAGGAAGTCGAACCTGGCATAAGGGAGCCCTGCTTGGCATCGAGAGTACTTTCGAATTCACTGAGGCTGTATTTTTTCTGCATTTCGGCGCCGTCTCCGATTTCCAGTATTATTCCGCGTCTGGGAGGGCAATATATATATCATGACGAGGAAAGTAACAAATCGAAGCAGCTTGCCCTGTCTCTTACGTCGGGTTCCACGCATACTGACTCATCTGTAGCTAGAGCGAGGCTGTGTCCGCGCGCCGCTCTCCGTATTGCCACTCGGGACATATCCCGTCCAGCGAGGTAGAGTTGGCCTCGATCGGTGACCTGCACAATCTCCGCACAATTGTACACAAGCAATCGTTTGAGATTCGCCATCCCCAGTTTCAATGGCCCTAGGGAAGAATACCTTATCGATGTCATTTCGGAAGACGAATCAGATCTGGCAAAGTGGAGTCATAGGGGCAAACTCACTGAGGGTACTCCTTGAACAGGTTCAAACTCTGGAATTTCTGAGAGCAGGATTTTCAGATCCCTAGGTAGGCTCGGAGAACCGCGTCCTCCCGAAACGGATCGAAATGAATGCCGCGAGTCGTAAGAGAAGGTCTCCCTGCTGTTTGCGACTGTCGGCCGACTGGTCTATCTCTCTGGGCTCGACTCGGCCACTGTCTATCAGATACCCGAAATGCAGACGTCGACTTCCACTCGTGATTGTGTTTTTTCTCTTTGTTTTGTCTGCTACTACTGGGGCTCCGAGTATCAGGGGAGCACCACTCCAAAGCTTTCTCGGCGTCGCCGTCGGCGTCGTTCGGACCATTTCAGGAACCTGCTGACTCAGATTTCCAGGAATCGAGAGTCAGCTGCAAGATTGCAAGATACCAACCACGCGCGACTACAATTTCACCCATTCCAGCTTGTTTTAGTCAGATGATTTGATCAATTTGTCTGATCGATAAAAATGTCAATTTCTGAGATGAAAACGTGAGTTCTCTCTAAAAGAGGACGTTCGCCGGGAATTTCGCGGGATCTCTGCGGGGGAAATAGGGAGAGCGGCGAAACTCACAACCTCCGACGTCCTTGTCGATCTTCGAGAGCCCATCAGGTACAGGGTAATAAAACAGAGAAGAAATGTTTCATTCTTCGAAGATATCATTGTGGACTTCTTCAGATTTATTAGCGGCTAGGTTTTCTCCAGTATCCAAGTTGAAGTGAGGCGTGCTTCATCTTGAGCAATATACAGATTATACACAGCGATATTTAAATACAGAACTCATCAAGCCTCGGAACAGATGTTTCGGAGGTCGCTAGGGAATCCTTCCATAAAAAACTCGTTCGGGGATTCCACGACATTGAAGAGACTACATAGAGTATTTTTGATGAAGACATTCAGTTAGCTCACTCTCCGCGCATCTGAACTCAGATGTCCCCATAGCCTTCTTTCCTCTGTTTCGCCCGATGAGATTACTGAGAAGGATGGATGACCGAGTCAACATTCCTCGGACGCATCTATTGTCCGCAAGGTCTCGAATATGTTAGAGTAGGAACTTTTGTTTCGCACCGTCTCCATGCAGCAGTATTCCATGAATAGGTAGTGATTCATTACCCGCGGCATTTAATATTATTGATTATTTATATCAGCTATGTGTTACGCTAGCAAAGGTAATCAGACTTGACTTTGTAAGCACGTTTCCAAATGTCGCAAAGACAAACGGTAGAGTGGAATCGGAAAAATATTACTAGTGGAGCTGTCACATGAGTGATGATGGTCCACGCCCAGAATCCATAGAAGTGCATCTGGACCGGATTCGAATCGGCTCTCCTGGTTTCCAGAGTATTGATTGCCCACATAGAGAAGTTGCAAAGAATGAGGAACGTGACCATCTCTCTGCCGGGTTTCCGTTCCGCTTGGTCCTGGCTGTTGACATATCTGCGCGAGGCGTCCAAAATGAACATTGTTTGCAAAGAGGCTTGGATGAGACAAGCGAGCGCGGTCAGGATAGCGAGCATTGTGCTCTCTCCCCCGTCGAAATGACCTCCGATTATACTGAAAACGTTGTAAAGGTAGAGCCCGCTCTGGGCTACGATCAACAGAATTGATTCCAGATCGAGATTCCTAGAGCGATTGTAACGTAGTTCTCGGACTTGAATCAGGGCGGTTATGGTAGCCAAGGACGCTAGGACGTAGACGAGCAGCTCAGCTATGTGGGCTTCCAGCACAGCGATGCTCCTGTAGCCGGGCTTGTTGATCAAAACGAAGAATAGAATCAAACTGATGATTGAGAGCACAAGTACCAGCAGTCCCGTGAAAAGACCCTTGTTCGCCTTAGCGCAATCGACTTGATAATAGTGGCGCTGTTTGCCCCCACCGTAAGTTGTGGCCGATGAGCTGTCGTTGAAGACTACTCTTGAAGAACCGACATTCTTCCACATGATATAGAGAACGCCGGCGCAAATTAAACTGTATTCAATGGTGCAAGGAAACAGAAACGGGGATGCGTTCTGGACCAGTTCACCCATGATGTTGTCTCGTTGTCCACAATAGATATCAGGAAACGAGCGCTTCGACCTGTTGTGGACCGCTTCAACGATTTGCTCGATTATTTCTGTGTGGTTTTCAACGCTCGGGCTCGATGCTAAATGATGCACAACTTGAACGTGATTCGGGATATGCTCGATCTTGATGTTAGTGGTAGAATTGCCCAAATCGAAAATCTGATGCTTCGTCTCTTGGATCAACACGTGCAACCAGACGCAGAGGTTGCTCGAAATCATATGCATCAGGCCGAAGCGAGCAATGGTTGTGTATCTGAAAGAGAATCCCGATGCCATCATCTTATTGCGGAGCGATACCAAGATGAGGAAAAGTCTCGACTTCATATGCGATAATTGGGCTGACAAGTCTCAGCTAGCAATTCTTCATTTTAGAAGTAGTGTGCTCTCACCGGTTGATCGCCACGCGCGAGTTTATGAATATGAAGTAGAGTTGGAAAAATGTGAAAGCCATCCTGGAGGCCGGCGTGAGATTGTGCAGGATGCTGCATTGATCCGTGGATTCGTATTCGAAGAATTGACCGAATTCGAGGCCCGAGTAGATCATGCTGCCGGTGCCGAAAGCCACCGCTCCCAGCCTGTGTCGACGAAAATGAGTTAGGTACTATCGACGATTCATTCTGGCTCTGGCTCCTTCCTTCACATGAATGAACCCGAAATTCTATCTTTCAACCACAGAAAAAAGGGGGAATCCAGTCCATCCCCGCGTTCCCGATTCCCTTTCTCTTGATTGATCTGATGGGGTTCTCACCTGAGGTAAAAGCTCCCTGCGTGAGACATTCTGAGTTCATATGCCGGCATGCGGTTGGTTTTCTCAGTTGCTTTGGTTTTGGTGAAAATTCGGAACTTGTCCATCACCGTTTGAGTGACTCCAGAAATGCGGGAATTGCTCCGCCCCTTCGATCCCTTCTGGTGTGGGAACACGAACAAATACATGAACAAGAGAAACAGGATGCTCCCCAGATAGAGGTAGAGGTAGAACCCTTCGTAGAACACAGCCGGTATTCTCCTCGATATGACTTCCGCCATAGGGAAGCAGATCCCGAGAACGATCAGCAGTTTCGCGTAAAGAGCACTCAGTATGATCACCAACGAATCCCTGCGGGACACAAAGTCGTATTCGATTTCATCGACGTTGTTTCCGTAACATGCTGATCATGATGCCAAAGGTTTTGACTTTTTTGTTTTCTAGCAACGAGCTCGAAGGGGAAGAAATCTCGCCCACCTGTCGCTCGGGCCAACGTGACGCACGCCAGCGATTTTTGGAGTTATGGGCAGCGAAGAAACCGATCCTCCGTAGGAACTTGCTCTCGAGATTGCCGGCCTGGGAGAAATATCGATGTGGAGACTGCGTTTCGATCTGCCCTCGTTGGGTCCGATCCCGGAGTCGTCCGACGCTCGTTGACCCACGGCGACGCCGGAATTCGATATGAGGGCATCGGTTGTTTGGGCTTCGTATTCTTCTGCGGAAGTAAGACGTGATAAGCTGTAACATCTCGTAGATGTATTTGCTTTCTGCAATTTCTCAAACTGTCCATAAAGTTGGAGTGCTCCCTCGCCTCTCGACTCTTCGCTTCCGTCGGTCCTGGGGACGCGTCGGTGGGTCAGAAGATGGCCGAAGTATCGCTCAGAAGTCACAACCCGCCGATGGAGCCGCGAGGAACTCATCACGCAGATTGAAAAATTATCATCGAAATCGAACAGCACCTCCATGATGCACTGGTGGTGGCGGTGTAGGCTTCACGAAAAATGCAGCACCGAACAGGGGGTACAGGGGAACGGAACTCCATGACAAGTGTGACTCCACTGCGAACGGTTGCTCTCAATTTTTCTTGCATGCTCGACAATGGCCCCTCAGATCCCGGAACCATTAAAACGCCACAAAAACTTCTGTGCGCGGCAAGTTACGGCTGCGCGCGTCATTGGCAACAGTTTCTTTTGTTGGTTTAACCGTTTAATATTCATCTTCCCTCGCGGACTTTTTTCTCGGTCGTTTTTACCCGGCAAAAACCACCTACCTCGGCAACAACTTCCCGTTCGACAGAAGAGGTCAACAACAAGACCTCAGCCGGAGAGATCTCGGCGGAGAGAAAAAAAAAACTCTTTGCATGAAGTAAACCCGTCTCGGCATCTATGAGCGTCCATATTTCGCAGAAAAGTCTTGTGACTCGGTGAATGATTCACTCTTGTAAGTTCCGGGGAGCTTCTAGAAAGTTGGGTCGATTCTGAATCGCAGTTCGTTCTGGTTCGACGATGACTCTTCACAAAAAGATTTCTGGGAATCGACCCGACGCTTCCCAACTGCTGCAGCTGCCTCGATCCCCCGCCGTGTGGGAGGAACGTGCCCTTGAGGCAGGGTGAGTATAGAAAAGGAGATGCAGTGGAGCTCCTGGGGGAGGGGGCAGCTGCGGATGAGGTGCGGTTCACGCACGACCAGCGGGACAGGCTAGGATTGCTTTAGGAGGCGCGGAGAGAGTCGATCGAAAAAACCGATGAAACTGCGACGAGTTGGGATATCCAGATCACATCGACCTGACAGAGGTGTTGTCATGTTATTTTCGGCTAAGTTCTGATACGCTACCGCTCATCAGGAAGTCCGATCTCGGCTTCCACCGTTATTTTGTGCACCAGAAAGCGGCGGGATGGAACGCGACAAAAAAAAACGGGAAAACCCTCTCCTGAGCGAGCTGACAAGCGACGATACTGGATGGCAGATCAGCAGCCATCGATGGATGAATTGATCGATCGATGATGGACGATTTTTGATTTGAATATGGCGGAATAACGGTGCCTATGACGATGAAGTAGACGGCGGCCAGAATCTTAGGAATCCGGCGAATATTCTGACGGTTTGTGCTCGCATCCCCAACTAGATGGAGGTCTGCGTGTTTCCAGTCCTTCATTCATTCACTCACTCCGAGGCTGACATCGTCGGAGAATTTCGGGAGGAGAGGAAAGCGGGTTCCCACACGCCCCCGGTCGACGTCGACTTAAATTTCGGAGGAGCGCTCCCGAAACACGAGTTTCGAGTCTTCCCTATATCTTTTTTTTCTGTGAATCGTTCCACATAATGAAAGCGTGTCTGACTGACTGAGACAGCCACTCAGACCTAAACAGACCGAAGCAGGGCTTGCAATCAGAACATCGAATGCCCTGGCAGCGTTCCGCACTGTTGATATCGTGCCATCGGCGCACTATGCAATGATTAGGCCGCGATTCGTAGCTCCCATCATTCGCTCATCTTGCCCGCTCAACGCCCACGCTATGGAAACGACGGAGTACCGCGATCCGATCGGCGGCAGGTCCTTGATCGGCAAAGTGAACAAGAATGAGGTGTTCTTTTGGCGTAATGAGCTTTGCAGATGAGGCTTTTGTAACCAGCGAGCATACAAATACTGATCGCGTCTTGGACACGCAGCGAACTGCGCAGCCGGCGTTTCTCGCTCTCAGATCAGAAAATGAAGACTCGCCCATTGGGTCGTAGGTCGAACGCATGATTCAGAATCAGAACTGTAACGGGCGTGACTCGGAAGAGTGGCGTCTCCAGATGCGCCCGATTCCGTACGACAAAGAATATCCATACGGAAACGCCCCCGACTTGAGGATATGTATAAAGTCGCGGTCGATACTCACGAGGCATTGATATTCATTCCAACTTCCGAACAGTCCCTCGATAGTTTTATTGATAATGTTATTATATATATATACATCAACAGCGTTTTATAAATAGGATCTATCTTACATTCTGGTGATGAGTGACTGGGTGTGTTGGCCCATTCAAAAATAAATAAAACACTCTGTCTCAGTCAGTCCAGTTTCAGTAAATTCCGTGATTTTGGCTTTCGATTGTTCGAGAGTATTTCACTATTTCGATGATCTAGAGAGCAACCTCGAAAAGTAGTCTCGGGCTTGCGCTCCCAATTCCAGGATATTGACCACGATATCGAGGAAGACCCTCCGGCTTCCGGCCAAGCTCCCGCTCTTGCTTACGGATATAATTTTCTCCCAAGGAGAATCCGTCCGGTTCGCAAGTCTGTATCGAGCAGAATACGAATAGTTTATTAGACTATTCAAACGCTCAGGATGATTCGTGATGATAGCGTCCACCCCCGATTGGAGGATGTTCTCCATGGCGGACGTCAAATCAATAGTCCAGTAATAAACCTTCCGCACATAACCCGACGGAGCGTCGCGGAGATCGATGACTTCCCGCAATCGGTTCTCGGGTCGCATGCCTACGAGACAGTTCGTGATTCCGTCGCCTTGCCAGATATTTTTCCTGATACCGAGCGATTCGTACATGGAGGAAATCTCAGCGAGATACGAGTTCATTCCGACGTCATATCCGATGTTTTTCGCGTATTTTTGGTTCTCTTCTTTGTTGAGTTCACTGAGAAATCCCTTCAAGAACATCCTGTCCTGAGCTCGGGGTATCGAGACGAGAACATTAACGCGATGGGTCTGATTCACTTGGTACCAGAGATGATCGACGAGCTTCGTGAACAGATCTATCCCGGCGTATCGTTGCGAGGCTTTGGGCACCTTGGACTCTTCGAGTTTGAGGTCAAGCATCAGCAGGGCAATGTTCCTGCCTTTATGAACGGTCACTTCGCGCACGTACTTCAGGTAGTCGGAGAAGCTTGAGCGCAACATGCATCGTCTGAAGCAATCGCATGGTACTCCATGGTAGGTGCTCAGCGCGGAACCGTCAGGGGAGAAATTCACGTCGGCCTCGATCGCGTTGGCTCCTCGGTTCAGGTAATAATCGATCTCCGGTATCGAATTCACCATGTGCGCAATGTTATAAAACGGTCGTCGATTATCTTCCACCGATGACACTGAAACGATTCTGGCGACAAGAGAAACAACGGTGATGAACAAAACATGCGGCGGATCGCTTGTCACCCGGGGCATCGTTGCGGACCTCCGGCGTAACAGGTGACGGTTCGAAGAAAGAGGTTCTAAAAAACTTCACGGATTATGCACTAGTCGGTCAGCGACCTCAACGGAACGCGTGTTTCTGCTTCAGCGTTCGGCTCTCATCTGGCGGTCGGTTCTGCGCCGAAACCCCGAGGCGCGGCGGTGCTCGTCGTGAACGGCGAAGGCTCCCACGGGGAAAGGGCTCCAGGTTACGGTACGTGCTTCCCGTGAACCTGAGATCATTTCCCGAGGTCCGGAACTATCATTTCTCGACGTCCGGAACCATCATAGTCTTCGGTCGCCACCCATGGCATCATGGCACTTCGAGGAGATCTCAAAATGAGTCCCTTGGAGCATTTTCCCATCGTCTTCAAGGCTTCGATGGGTCGTTGGGTGCAAGCTGCGCTTTTCAGACTGCTGTCGAGTCCGGAGATTTGGAAAAGTACGGGAAGTCCCGATAAAGGTAGAGCAGCGCGTTCCTCATCGCTGGTCTGGAAACACCGCGAGCCTCTCCGCGAAAGAAGTTATTTATTCAGTCAGTCATTTTCAGGGATATCCTCGAGCTTCTGTCGGGTAACGCCTAGGTTATTTTTTTCTCAATTATTTTAAACAATTCTCCTATAGTACTACGTTCTTCTACAAGTCTCCTATAAATCATCATTCATTCTCAAGAACAAGTCTCTCGGCGAAAGATCAGTCCCCTGATAAGATGTTGAAAATCCGTAGCAAAACTACCGATGCGGCGACTCGCGAGGAAGGAAACAGACTTCTTCGGAGACTCTGGTCCCAATCTGGGATTGTTGATCCTCTTCCTATCTTCCTAGCATGAAAAATTTCGAGACGTAAACCCCGGCCTGGGAAGCCATATCCGAAATGTTCGACCACGTATCGCTCCACATCTGAAGGTAGCCCGACGGGTCACCCGGGGTACTCTTGGAGATAATTTTCTCCCATGGAACATCGCTTCCGTTCGCGAGACGATACATTCGAGAGTTGGCGCTCACGAGCCGGTTGACTCGCTCAGGATGATTCGTGATGAAAGCGTCCACCCCCATCGCGAGACCATGCTCAATAGTGGTCGTCATATCGGCCGTCCAGTAGTAGACCTTGTGCACGTACCCCTTCGGTTCATCGCGCAGTGCCAGGACTTCTCGCAGACGCCGGTCTGGTCGCATCTGAATAAAGCAGTTCGAGATGCCGTCGCCCTGCCAAATACGTTCAGAGATGCCCAATGAAGTGTACATGGATTCGATTTCGTGCGGAGCGCCATTCATTCCCACGTCGAATGCGATTTGGTTTCGATAGTCCTCTTTTTTCTCTGCACTCATTTCTTCTAGCAATCCACCGAAAAAATATCGCCTTCTGACGCTCGGTATCGAAAGCAGGACGTGCAGTCGTTCCGTCGCGGGCACGTCGTGCCACAGATGATCGACCAGCTTAGAAAACAGATCTCTCCCAGCGAATCGTTGAGCCTCTAGAGACATTTCGAAGTTCTCTAGCTTCAAGTCTAACATGAGCATGATGAAGCCTCTGCCTCTTGAAGATCTCAAATTGCGGACATGATCCAAATAATCGGTAAAAACAGCGCTTTGATAACACCTCCGAAAACAATCACACGGCACACCATGGTGGAGGCGCAGCACTGTTCCGTTGGCAGCAAATACCACGTCAGCTTCGATCCCGTTAGCCCCGAGTTCCAAGTAGTAATCGATCTCTTCTATCGAGTTGACCATGTGCGCGATGCTGAATATGGGCCTTCGTTCGTCTACAGTCTCCGAAGACGCTTCGGAGAATACAAAGAGAAGCACCGAAAGTCCGAGCGTCGCCCGGCACATCGTTACGAAGGCTCGAGATGAGGGAACGCTGGGGACTGAGGGAAATTCCAGGGAAACTTCACAAATTCTCCACAAGGGTCACGCGGACAAGTTTCACACAAAATTGTGGATAAACAATCCTCCTTGACGGCATGGACCTTCGGGGGAGAGGGCTTGAGTTTGCGGATTCTACAGAGACGAGATGAGGGCGCTGACGTTTTCTCTCGTCATGCGAGGGAAGCGCGCACGTACAGCGGATTTCGGAAGCTCAGCTGTTTTGTCAAATAAGCAGAACTGGATCCCCGAATCAGTTAAGGCTCCGATTCATACCACCTCGACCTCAACGGATGAGACGTCCCGGCAGAGTAGAGTCCCGTCCTGTTCTTCGTGGTTCCGACCAATTTCGGCCAAGGTGAATCTCCCAACGTAGCTATTCGGTACTTATGGGAAAACTTTGTCCCGATCAGGCGAGTTAGTCGGTCGGGACGGTTAGTGATGATTCCGTCGACATTCAACTCCAGAATTTTCTCCATAATCACGGGTATGTCGACGGTCCAATAGTAGACTTTTTGTGCGTAGCCCGATCGCGACTCGCGTACAGCGATGGCTCGTCGCAGACGCGTCAAGCTCCGGACCGCGGAGAGACAATTGGTTAAGCCATCGCCCTGCCAGATATTCTCAGTGATTCCGAGTGATCTATACATTTCGGAAATTTCTCTCAAATCTGGATTCATGCTGACATCGAAACCCACACTGCTCCGATACATGAAATTTTTCCTTCTCTTGAGCTCGCTGACGAATCCCTCGAGGAAACTTCTCTCTTTGACGCTGGGTATCGAGATGAGAACGTTGACGCGCCCTGAATCGTTCAGTCCGTTCCACAGATAATCAACCAGTTTTTTGAACACATCGACGCCGGCTCGGCGCGCAGATTTCGGCGTCATGTTAGAGATCTTGAGATCCAGTAGCAGCATGTTCAAGATTTTCCCTTCCACGGCTGTCACTTTCCGAACGTGTTTCAGGTACTCGACGAAATCAGTACTCGCCATACATTTGCGGAAGCAGTCACACGGGATACCGTGGTGGACGCTCGCGGCAGAGCCATCCCCAGAAAACCTCAAATCAGCTTCGATGGCGTTCGCACCCTTAGACAAGAAGTAATCGATTTCTCCAATGGAGTTGACCATGTGGGCGATGATGAAGAAAGGTCGACGCGAGTCACTTGCAGCTCCAAAAACACAGAAAGTCAGAAACGGCAGAAGCTTAAGCGCGAGTTGAGCCATAGGGATTATTTTCCGAAACGCAGGGATATTTGTATGAGTGAAACTCTTCCAAGAACGTCACGGACTGTGCACTAGTCGGCCAGCGACCTCACCGGATCCCTTAGCTTGAAAATCGAGCTTTTACAGAGCTCCCTAATATTCTGAGACGCGTTCTGTTCCGGCGGAGCTCGCGTAAACTGTCAGCTGATCGAGGACTCGACTCATGCCGACGGATGGGGACCAAGAGTGAGCGCACTGATCCACATTGGAGCTTTATACGAGATTCGAATACGTGCGAATGCAGCTATCCGAGTCCGAGTTTCTCGGCATCTGCTCCCACGTAATGCACTTGTCTCACCGAATGACCCGTTCCGTGTAAAACTGAGCAATCAGATTAATTATACGAGCTCATCCCGATCGCATATCCCGCGCGGAAAACTATGGAATCACGGAACCGTGAGACACGAGCGTCAAAGGTTGAATATTTGGAAGACTGTCCAAGCTCCGCTCAATGAATACTGGAAGTTCCCATCCGGCCTATAAACTCTGATGCGGAAAGCCGCTGGTGGCTGTGGATTGGAGGTGCTCCATATCCGACTTGGAACGATGAGTCGTTCGAAAAACCCGTCCGGGAATCGATCGCGATTTCATTTTTCGAAGCGCGCTCCCTGGGACATATCCTGAATCGGGGGGAACGGAGCTCACATGCGAAAAACCCAACCCTCAGCCGACCGGATCGATACCGTTATTCGTTCGGGAAAACAATCAACCGAAAAGTGTCAGCTGTCTTCGTTCGCGCTTGAGTTTCCGCGATCGTAACCACTTCCGAATTCGCTCAAGGAAGGCTCTATCGAAGGTATACAGTACCGATTGTCTCCGTATTCACGCCATTCCAGAGCAGTGAGGCAATTATTATTCCGTCGCAAAAAACGGCGGTCGCCGCAAGCGACGCCAGCCGTCGTAGCGGAGGAGTTCCGGCGGCTCCGGCTACCTTCCAAGCGGAACACGGCGGCGCAGGGGAAAATTCATTCAACTCGTTTATGTCGTTACTGTGGCCCGGGTGTGGCACGACTGTCTGTTTTTGTCAGCTTGCCTGCTCTACGTAGAGGACTGGGCTCCGAGAAGAATTCGCCAGCAGACAGCAGGAGTGACACACACGACAAAAATGACGCGGAGGAACTCCGGCGGACCATACAATGGGAACTCTTAGATTGGTGAAGCTTTTCGGCCGCCTCAGGAAGCGACAATACCGTTGAAATCGGGTATCATTATCTCCACTTTCTGATCACCTATAATTTCCCGACTTCATTCGTTAGCTTTCAGTTTCCCCATCGTTTCTCAATCTACCGGACACCCTTATGTTTGGGGTATCCGATGCGGAATCAGCCGAACATCTCCTCGATTTAGGGCTCTACGGTAGATCATACATCGGTTGAGCCAAATTCTACTCTGAATCCGTAGAACGTCTACTGAGCTGTCCGAGCAGTCCGTTTTTCGAGAAAAGGAATGCTTTGTATTTCCCGACGCGTTAAAACTACGAATAGGGGACGACGACCGCTGGCTCGTGCGGGGTGCGGTTCGATTCGTTTTATCACTGAAAATTCCCCTTTCAGTTTCTTCAGAGGAACCCAAGTCCCGGATCAATGACCAAAGAACCGCGCCTCGTCGACCGTTCGAAACTTCGACTTGCGAGGGAGTTCGATGAGGATTTAACAGAAAATCCCTAGCGTATCCTCGTCGGTCAGCAGCGACGACTGGATTATAATATGCGGAACAAGCCGATTCGGATGGAATTTTGTCATCTTGGCCGAGCGCCGAGAAACCGTGAGAGCTTTACGAGGGCTCAATAACTTGACAAATGGGCCGAGCGTGGAACCCACTGATGATCCGGTGGTGAATCCGGATCAGTCGCTAAAGGCAACAGAATATCATGGGCTCGGAGCGCGACGGATCTTCGTCATCGATGTCAGTCGGACGCTTTTCGGAATCCGATTTAAAGGAAGCCCCACACAACGAGGACGACAACGACGCGTCAGGCTGTCAATTTAGCCATTTCCTCTTCTGTCGATGAATCATAATGAAATTATCGGCCACATCACAGTTTGCGCACCGACCGCATCGCAGAAAAACGGTCTGTGACGCGGTCGGTGCGCAAACTTTCGCTTCAGTGAGCTTGTCGGAAGATTACTAACTCGGATTGCTTGACCCCGGCGGCGGAGCAAACTCTCGGAAGCTTTCACCAAAACCAGAAAGTTAGTCGCGGCCACTTCCCGTGTCTTAGTGACGGCGTTCTGGATATGGGAATCCCGTGTGCGTTCTCGGAAAACGAAGACGTAGCTGTCCACCAAACAGCGAGGATGGTCGAATATGCTGAGGGTTCTGAGTCACGCCGTGCCATGGAATCACCGCCGGCCCCCGTTGACATCAGAACGGTAGTGTCGACCCGAGCTCTGAGCGATAGACCGAAGACTGAATGTTCTTGCTGGAGGCATAGACTGTCCCTGGGAAACTCGATCGGCGGGAACCTCCTCGTACCGCGCTCCCACAAACTCGTGATCCTCCCGCCGAGCGGAGCCCCATCGTCCGACGCGTTTAGAGAACGTAGAGCTAGACCCCTTTATCGTTGTAAAGTTGATTTCCGGTCATAATCGTAAACCTCCAGCGATAGGCTCCGTTCCAGTCAGGGAGATATTAATGCTGCTGATTAGTTCGAGATTTTGCCGCCGTCGTTTCATCGCGCTACCGCAATTCGCCATCGGAAGGTGCTAGATGGAATCTGCTTTCGACTAGTTATACTCACGCTCATCAGTGCTGTCACCTCCAGATTCGCCTTTGCTCGGAAGAATCATCGACACCGATCGTGGAGTCGGTAATACTGGGATGACCTTGGGACCGTGCATGTCACAGCCGTTGCTCATTTCTGGTGTGTCCGGGGGCGTGATGCCGGGGGGTTCGACGCCGACGAAACTGAAAATCAATTTGAGATTTCAGAGCGGGAGCAAGGCTGAGGGACGAAACCGTAGTCAGAGAGATATGCCGATCGGGGCTGCTTGACGGAGACTGGACCGCCCTCGTTCTCGAATCGCGATTCTGATATGATTCGGAGGTGAGAAATTCTCCCTCGTTCGAGAGATGAGGATCATAACGGAAATGAGGAGCTTCCCACGGATGCCGTCTCTTGCGATGCAAGGTCTCTATATGAGCGCAGCTGATCTTCCGCATCTTCCGCCTCAAATGAACGACACATAGCAGACTGGAGATTGCTTACAGCTGTGATTGTCCGGTGTCATCGATTCTACCGTCGGCATCAACACACGACACAAGCAACAGCGCGCGAACGCCCACCCGCACATGAATCACATGACGGTCGAGAAGAACAGCGAAAAACAGCAAATCGGCGGATAGATTCAAAAATACCTTCTACGTTGTGCGTACCGACACAGTGGACTCGAGGTCATTGTCCGAGGGGACCTCAATGAGGTCCTTCGTTGGGCTTGCGCCTGTTGGAGGAATCGTTCGAGCATGCTGACCTCGAGGCACCCAACTCGCTACTGGTCATCTAAGTACTGCTCGCGCTCGAGAGACCACATCCTTATTACGAGTGACCGTGAGCCTTGTACCCCTTGCGCTCGAGCGTTCCGAGATAAGGCTTGTTGTTTTACGCGAGAGTCAACGACACCACGCTCGCGAGGGGGGCCTCAGCGTGGGCAACTTCCTCGAGAACCAGAACGCCAGACACGGAGGCCGCCCACTGGAACACGCGGTACATTTATCCGTCGACGCGCCGACCGAATCCGACGGGATCGACAATAGGAGTCGAATCGACGCAATCGCAAAAGAGGAGTTTCCCTGCGGCATCCGGATCTGCTCAGCCCGGGCCAGCTCAGATGGTGGGAGCCGGAGTCTCGTGGGGTTCGAAGGACATGGATCGGGCCTCGTCGGGGCCTCCGACCTCGTCCGCGAGCCCTCTTCCTTTGCGGTCCTCGTACGAGACGGTAGCGGAACACGAGCATCGTATCTAGATGGAGATTCGACAGTCCAGGTGACTGCCGTTAAGATAATCTCAATCGACGAGCGTCTTTGTCGCGAGCGTTTGTTGCCTATTTTGGGCCGCTACGCCGAAAAGAGCAATAGCGGTGTTTGGCACAGACAAAACCGGTAGCTAGTACCTTCGCCAAGCTGGCACTTCTATAAACGAACAGTGGACATAGTCTGCTATCGCAAACTAAACCGGCACCAGTTGCCTCTCGAGAGCCGCTAGATGGATGTCGATTGCAGGAGGGTCGCTATTTGCCCCGGCTAGTTGAGAACCGGCGCAAAGTCTTACTCACATTAGTCTCGATTACAAGGAGCTAGTAGTGATGAGATAGCGATACGTCTATAGTAGGGTACGCTGGAGTGCGCTCGCGAGCCAATTCACAGAGCGAAAGCGGTGGCTAGCAGGGCACATACTCACTTCATACATTTGCACTGATGGATGAGGAATTTGACCTTCTTCGGTAAGAGCATAGGTCCAAGTATAGCCTGCTGGACCCAAAAGCTATCTTCACTTGTGTAACGTTTGAATGGGTTATGAAAAAGCTTCCAATCAGCGGTCGCGCGACGTCTTCCCTCCTAGAGCCAGAGAGGGAATGGAGATCGTTCCTGAGATTGCCTGGCTCGGCCTAGCTTTGAGAGAGTGTTGAGGTCGGTGTTGAGTCTCTTCATACTCTTCCATCCGGTGCGATAAGCCCGAAGATTTACATATTTTCGCAAGACTACGAAAATAATTCTCGAGATTATCTTGGAAAATAATAAAAGCTCTTGGGAATCCCTCCGTGAGGAATTCTCGATGAACTCTGTCCTGGAAGATCTTTGCACCTTCTGTTCTTCTTTGTTGATGCTACGTAAGTGATCGTATTCAATGTCAAGGAACGGAGACCGTGGTGAACTTTGCGATAAATGAATGGGTTCCCACGGGCTTGTAGCAAGGATTTTGCGTCAAAGGAATTCCTACGCCGGGGGATTTCCGTGACGAGCGAAGGGAGATTCTCCCCGTGAAATAATAACGATTCTCCCAGTAATAGCCCGGTGCATCGTTTCGTGAGAGCGAACTGAGCATGGTATGTAAGAGTACCGAGTATCCATCGGTAAACAGATCAGCGGCGGGATTCGACCCGAGATCAGATGGATGCCGACAGAGCATAAATCACCATCAGTCGCTCCATTAATGGAGAGTGACAAGACACGAGTACTGATTGTCGTCACGGCCATCTAACATCTTCAGGTGTTACATGCATACAGCTCAGTAAATATATCCAGAAGAGTAAGCGAGAGCGAGCGGATCGGGAGAAGGGGCGAACAGGGAACTCCCAGATTCGGTCATGGAATTTCCGTTTCAGGGAAAGAGAGGGGAAGGAAACGAGACAGCTTTGGTGCGACGTCTTTGGTAATCAGAACGGTCCTACAGGACCTCCGGGGAGGTGAGCATGGTGTTGACCGGTCCTCTCCAACACCCATTCCTCCCGACAAGAACATGATTTGCATTCCCAAGGAAAATTCCATGTCAGGCATCGAAGAGACTCGACGCAAGTTCGGATACGATGCGCGGGATACTTCTATGCTGTGGCTTACGTAAGATCGTCTCTATGCGTCAACCCATCAACCGTCTCTCGAATCGCCGTTCCTATTCTTCATCGTAGATTCTCCGAGTTCTAATCCGAAATCGAAGTTAATTTATTCTAATCAGAGAAACCTTGTAACTAATCAGAAATGCCTCTCTCTTGCGACCGATAGATGCTGAAAGTCCCAATGAGGAGATGCAATGTTCCCGATAAAGCGTCGGATGCGACTCTAGTACCTACAACTCTGGAAGACTTTCACCTCCCTTATACACGATGCGCTGATGGGTTGTGCGCGAATTTCAGTCATTACGATGGGAAGCGGAAGCGGAATTATATTGCGGAAGCGCGGTTACTGGTGTCACCTAATGCATTCGAGTCCATTGGACGAATGCGTCCTCAGAAGCACTTCAATATCGTAAGAGCCGGTGCGCTTCTAAAAGCTTTTTGGAGAGTCTCTTCACATAGATTGAGTTCTTATCTGAGGGGATAAATGTTTCTAACCAAGCGAGTTCGGGGCGGTCTGGCATTTATCAGCAGTCGTTTTAGTGTGTAGATATGTAAATTCCCCTTGCATGCAGAGGCAAATACATCTCGCAAGGATTATTGCTACACATGAGATAAGAGGAGGGAAAACTCCTGCCTCTAAGAGAAATTTTCCGACGAAAACAAGGAGCCCGCCTGTCGAGCAGAGCGTGAACATGAGGTGGGCATCAAAGGCGATCCGCATCTCGAGAGGGGAGAAAGTAAGGATGCGTACTAAAGACGCCGAAACCCGGTCAATTTAGGGTTGAAAATGCTCGAGCGTGTCGGATTTATTTGGATTTCCCAGAAGTGATTTGCTTATAAAGAATTGATCGAGTCTTCGATATGAGGTATTCGCAAGCTCTTCGATGGTCACGTCAACAGTCGTATAAACCCAGAATGGGAGAATGGGTGCTGTAAAATTCGGGAGCTACTACATCTACTAGGCAATTAGGTCGAAGAAGCCGCCGAGAGATTCGGCGGCAGATACCGCTTCCCTTCGGGATGCTCATCGAACTTTATCGCCGAGAAACTTTGCTCGAATAAAACAATTGATCAATCATTCAACTCACTTCGCCGATCATTAGCTCGTATTTTCCGGCTTCGCGCGCAAAGACATGGGAAGGCGTCCGAGACGAACACCTTCCCGGTTCATGAAGATATCGCGACATCGAAGTCAAGGGAGGGTCTCCGGCTCTCGCTCAAGGAGAAGTAGAACCGGGCTCTAATTTGTGAGCAGATATCGGACTGGCATGCGCTCTCATAGATTGAAAACTTCTATGATGACCCGGCAGATCCATGGCGACTTTGGGGAACTCTCGCACACGGCTTCAAAAGCGATCAAGTCTTCGGCATATGTATACGATATTTCCCCTATCCGATCTCATGATATACCTCGAATCTGATCTCAAGTCGATTCAGCGTCGTCTGAACATCGGAAGCTGACTGAGGTACTGAGTTGTAACGTACCGTGTGAGAAGGAACATTACGAGAATATTATCAGAGATTAGGGGGGCTTGCCGCAGCCGACACAGAGGAAACTCACAATTTGACAGATCCTTTCATCGGAGCTGCAGATCGTACGACGGACGTTGCGGATCGACAAATGAACACTAATAGAATAGAATCTTGGCCGTGTTGTCGTCGAAGGTATAACTCGCTGAGAAAACGTTGCGAGGCGAGAGATTTCTGGCCACATTCTAGAGAGGGCCAGTTGTTTAGCTATTAGCATTGTAAAGAGAGATCAACACAGGAAGGACTTTACCGCACCGACACGATCATCCCGCACTTGTCGCCGATCCTACAATCGTCTCGTATTGATTCGCTCCCGTATAATTTTTCAGAGGAGTCTTCCCCAGATGGATGAGGTCTTTTGTTCGAATTACAACAACAAATGGATTAAAGCCTCATGGATTCCGATACGATGGGAATATTGGCGAAAAGAGCCTGGTCGACAGCTGCACTATCAACCAGCTGCATCGATCAGGTCTGACGAGATGCAACCTGGGGGGCGCACGATACGGGCGCAATACATATGGCTCGGGATCGAGGAGATTGACCGGTGAAAAAAAACTATCGCGGTGACCGCTTCCGTGGCATTCCTCTTGACAGAAAAAGATGGTTTCATATCTAAAAAGCCACACATACAATCACAGTAGACATTGAGATTCTCCACTATCTGAGGAATTCGGCTAATATTCGGCTAATATTCGGGTCTTTCACTTTTTCCGAGAGTGTTTGGAGCTCCTCGACGATGAATGTACCGCCCCGTAGACACCGTTCGACATC